TTTTATACTTATACTAATTTCTATTTCTAAGTAGCAAAACTTTTTTATAGATGGTAATATAACGGCAAGATATAATTGGTAATTGATTCCCAAAAACGTAGTTATAGGAAAATAATATATCTATCTAATATAATATTCAACCATCCCATTCCCCCTCATACATTTTTGAGAGTCCTTTAATTTTCCTAACTTCTCTAAAACAACTTTTTTTTAAACAAATATTCCTAGCTCGCTTTCATTTTCATACAATTTATACAATGCCTAAGTCTTGGGATTTATCAAGAACTATATCATTCGATGCTTTCCTTTTTATTTACACTTTAGGAATTTGTCTCATACCTTATGTTATTTATAATATTTGTTACTTCACAATTCCAAAATGAATCTCTAATATTATTCCACCTATACTATTTTAAATTTTCCCTTTCGATTTCTCTATTTATATCCAACGCCTACTTTCCTGGCTTATCCATCGCATATTCTCGTCCTCTGAACTCTTGGGAGATTCATGTCTTGCTTTATATTTTCTCTAATTACCCTCAATTTTTTGTTGACTTTTTGTTTCTTTTACGTTATGCTTATTTTTTGCACCGATTTCCAAGACTTTTTCAAGTTTTTACATATTGCATTTAACAATCGTTTCTTCTTTTCTAACACAAAAACAATCTCGAACAGGAACTGGCACTCTAGAATTCTCTAAGACTCTAGAACTCTCTTATATTTCTCATTTATTTGTATACTTGTCCCTTTAACAATAACTATTCTATCTATCTATTTATCTATCTATATATCTATCCATCTATCTATCTAACTATCCAACTGTCTATCTATCTATCTATCAATCTATCTTTCTATCTATTTTTCTATCTATCTATCTATCTATCTATCTATCTATCTAACTATCCAACTGTCTATTTATCTATTCAACTGTCTATCTATCTATCAATCTATCTTTCTATCTATCCATCTATCTATCTATCTATCAATCAATCAATCTATCTATCTATTCCATTTATTCTGCAACGTCCACTCACCTGTTTATCCTCTGCTGTGAATAGATTATCGAAGGCAAACATTTTAGGTGCCGCAACCATGGGCGCTCGCTCCTGGGCCTGCGGTGCCGAGACGGTCTTGGGATCCGTTAGTGTCACCTGTCGCTTCTTCTTGTCGAGCGCCATAAAGCAGCCAGACTCAAGGCAGCCGCTGCTGTCGGCGCTGCTGTCCGCTTTGTCGGCGACGCGCAACATGACTTTGACTTTGCCAACGCCATAGCATTCCCGACTCGAGAGACGGCGTTGCAGAGCCGGCGGCATCGCTGGCGGTGCACGTTGGAGTGCACCACAGAAGCCGCCGTTGCGCGGCGTTTGGCTGGTGCTCATTGCTCCACGGCCACAAAACTCCGTTTCCATACTCTTAATGTCCGTGTGAATGTGTGTGTGTGTGTGTGTCTTACTAGTAGGAAGCACTTCTGCACAGGCCAGACATGGGGCAGGAAAGAATGCATGAAGAAGAAGAAGAAGAAGAAGAAGAGGTACATGTAGCAACCACTAGTTAATAAGGATCCAACAGTGTGCTGTAAAAGTTTTGCCAAGAATTTCTCCTTTCGCAACATTGTGTGCAGATTTTATGTGTAATGTCATAAATTGTGATTTCTGCCAAGAAGGGACAACTGTGACTTAGGACGAGGTCCTGCCGTCCTATGGTAATGGCCATAACACTTTCGCTTTATGGTTATGGGGCATCTGTTTATTGGGCATATGCTTCACAGACAACTCAACTCAACTCGACTCAATCTCTCTCTCTTTCCCACTCTCAGGATTCACTGAGTTTTGTTTTTTTTTTTTCTTGAGGGTTTGGGTGTTTTTATTCACTTGTAGCATCGTCCAAGCATAGATGTATATATATATATTTTATCTATTTGCGGTACTTTGGTTTTTATTTCACTCAAATTTCTCTAGCAGAAAGCAGTTTTCAGTAAGGACTCTTTTGTTTATTTTATGTTTATTTACAATTATATCAGTTATTCGTGCAGCAAGTGCTCGTCTTATATTTGACTCTTAAGTTTATGTTCTGGGCGCTCGTAATTTTACCAAAAAGTGAAGAGCTTCTATTTTGTTGTAGGCCTCCGGTTGCTTAGACCCAAGATTGTTGCTGTTTTTTTATTACAAGTAATATTTTTTATTAGGTTACTATTTTTGCATTTTTTATTCATTTGAGGCTTAGTTTATAAAATTCACTTAGGCTCGGTCTATAAGGGTTTATGTTTACCACTTTTTAGGTAACTTTTTGGTAGGCAGTTTATTTCACTATAAGGAAGTATTTTTGGGATTATTATTATTGTTTATAATACCTTTTATTATTATATTATATCTTTAATAATTGCTATTAACTGTTGTTCGAATATATTTAAATTGATTTTTTGTATCATTTTTTGTGTTATTATTTAAGTTTGTTGTAAGAATTTTTTTTAAATATTTACCTTTAGAATGTCTTTAATTTTTTATAATTTTAGTTAATTTAATTGTATAATTTTAGTTAACTCTTAAGACTTTAATCATTTTTCGTCAAGAATATAGTATTTGAATTTTTAAATATTTTTAAATAGGTAAGTTTTTAATTTGATTTTTTTGTTTTGAGTTTATTTTAGTTAAACTTATTTTTGAAAATTATGATAGATAATGTTTTTACTATTTTGTATATATAATGTAGAAAGTTTTTAAAACAAACTTTAAGTCAAAAACTCTAAACGTAGAACTCTTGACATTCTATACTTATGTTGGCTAAGGGAACACAGATAAAGTTTCAGGACTATGTTTATTCAAATTTATTCAAATAAGAATTCCTTGAACCATTCCGAATTTCGTTGAAAAGTTTGCAATTCAGTTTTCGATCAAGTCCCCCCAGTGCATTGATATCTTTATGTACATATGTATGTATATATTCTTTGTTATAAATTGAGGAGCTCAACTTTAAGCATTGCAGACGCTCGCCTTTGGGGTTCTAGGGGAGCACCTTCATTAACATGATGATGCGAATTCAAATAAGGAACGTGACATTTTTTGCAACATCTTTTCATTAATATTGTTCCTTTTCTTCCTTTTGCTGTTGCTTTTTTGCTGCTTTCTTTCTTATTTTGATGGCACGTTTCTATTGTGAATGACTGGCAACTCGAACGTCAACGTTGACGTTGACGTTGACGTTGACGCCGACGTTTGGCTCAACTTCATTTTTCAGATGTCGCGCACCTGCGACAGCGAACTTCTTAGAGGCGTTCCACCTTTTGAGCTTTTGGCTTTTCACACAAATCGATTGGCAATGCCTTCTAATTGTACGCAACAACAACAACAACAACAACAACAGCCCAGTGGAGTAGTGCGAGAGGGTGAGGAGAGAGGGGGTATATAGAATGCCATGGCATTGTATGGACAACAATATTAGCACAACACCAAGCACACGCACACACACACACACACACAGCGACAGCCACACACATCTAGTGCCCATACACACATACACAAGGAGCGTGCACAAACCCTTTTTTTATGACTGGCAATTTCTGGTTGTTGATTTCATCTTTGGCTGCAACGCTTTGGCTTCTTCGATTTTGATATACATGATTTATTTTAGCTACGATTCTTTAGCTGCTCCGGCTCTAACGAAAAAAACACATTTTCATTTTACGAACACATACACACGCACACAACTCGCGACGCGAACGCCCGCCGCGTTCCGTTTGCGTTGGCATTACAATCGCAACTAACACAGGACGGCGCTACCAAATGCTTGGCAAGTGCTCTGCTCTGCTCTGGCCGCTCTTTATGCCAACCGCCTCACGCGACGCTTGCGCGACAGTAGAAGAGAGAGCGCTGTCTAACTGCTGGCAGCTGGCAATGCTGTACACCTTTGTGTGGGGGTTGTACGACTTTCGCTTTTGACTAAGAGAGTGGCTGGCGCGCTCTCTTGAGCAAGTGCCGTTAGCAGGCAGGCAGGCAGCCAGCCAGGCAGCCTGCTAGGCAGGCGGCAGTCACAGGTAAACAAAATCAGCGAGGCTTCAAACAAAAGGAACAACGCAAATGATGTTTATATTGTAAAAAAAAAAGTTACACACACACACTCATACACATTTAAGGAAAAACAACAAAAGAGGAGCAAAAAGCACGCACACAGACACTCACGCTGATAGTTGAGGAGCTGAAGCGTCACTTAAGTGTTTGCAGTAGGCGAGGGCTTGGGTGAGGGGGTGGCGAGGAAGGGGAGGGGCCGAGTCAGGCAGCCCAAAATGCAAACGATGTGTTTTAAGTTCGCTTACATTTGACAGGCCGAGTAGATGCCGTTGAGTGAGTGTATGTATGTGTATGTGTGTGTGTGTGTATTTAAAAGCATCTATGGCGGGGATTTGGATGGACTTTGAACAGGATACATGTGCATGGGCACATAGAAGGGGCACAACAGTTTGAAAGCAGTTGAAAGTGTCCTGATAATGTCTCAATTAAAATTGCAAAGCTGAAGTGAGCTCTCAACTATGTATGTGAGGTAAATGTTTGCCGTTAGAGTGGCAGTAAAAATAACTGAGAATGAAAGAAATTGCATTTAAATTTAATGCCTAACTAAGGCGAATTAAAGTATAATGATCCTTTGATTTTGGGTATAGTCTGGAGGCGCTTAGCTGGATGTTGGAAAAACTATTATATATTTTGGTTTGCGTTGCTAACTGTTGGCAGTGCTGTGCTTGACGATTCCGTTATTATTTGCATTGTATGGCAACGCTGTTATGCGGCCACAGTTAAAAATTCAAAATATTGTAATATTGTAGCTCGAAAATGTTTTTAAATTCTGATTAATTCGATTTTAATATTCTTCTTAAATTTATTAAGTGCTATTAATACGAAACATCTTTTAGTGAAAAACTTCATTGTGTATCAGATAGTAAGTTCAAATAACTTTTATTTTTCTTGATCCATTGTTTTTATACATATACAATAATAATGTTTTGAGTATCATTCATTTATTATTTTTTTTGTAGCTTTTTCATTGCCTTCTTCGTTCGCGTTCAACAACAACAATTTACTGAAATATTCGTAGTTAATATTTGCCTAGTTGAAATGCATATCAAGTATATAGATATATATATGGTCTATATATATATGTATAACTGATAATCGTATGTATAACGCATGTGCTTAAAGAACTAAATACTTAAGATTAGGCAAAAACAATTTGAAACAAACAGCCTATGCGGAGAATGTTTAGAGGTAAAAAATTACATAAGAAACAACAATAATAATGATAGGGATCGGGGCATATTCTATACATATATAAAATGATAATTCGTAAATTTTGTCACACGTCAAAATGATTTTTTTTTTTTTTGTTCTTTTTTTCGTTATGAATAAAAAAATGAGTAAAAAATCAGTAAAGTTTAACTCGAAGTGGAGAGGGGGAGGATGGGTGGCCAGAGATGGCAGAGTTGGTTCGTTTAATGGGAAGGTGCTCCATAGGAGCTGCTGGGCGCCGATGGGGCTGGTGGGCCAGCGGGTGCACCATATTCCGAGGGTGGTGCAATGGCATTCGGGTAGGGTCCAGTCTCCTCCTTTTGGGTCTTGTAGCGAATGAAGTAGACTTCGGGCTTGCTGGGCTGTGTTGGCGCCGGTGTTGGAATAACAATATCTGGCTGCTCCTCTGGCTTCTTGACTAGCACATAGACCAAAGTCTTCTCCTCGTTCTGTGGGAACTGTGGAATGATTGGAGCAGTTGGTGCTGGTGGTGATGGTGCCTTGATGAACACAATCTTGTAGTGCTTCTGTGGTGGTGGCACATACACAGGTTTCCTATGGGAAAAAGCGCATGAAGTCAAGGAAAGGTTTCAGGGAAATGCGTGCAAAGTATGCTCATGATCTGTATACCACTAGCTCTTGTATAAGCTCTTATATAAACTCACATACACATATAATAATTTCATGCTCTCTTCTTCAGCTCTCCCTTTGCATATGCAATAGTAATAAACGAGCTTAGGAACTGTGACAATTTGCCACCCACTGGCAATTGGACTCTTATATAAACTCTGATATTCACACTCTTTAAGCTCTCTCTCTCTCTCTCTCTCTTCCTCTCTTTGACTGCCTATGTGTATGCAGTAATAACAAGCTAGCTCACTGTCTCATTATCAGCTCAGCTGAAGACTTATATCAACACTTATACGCCTACTCTTATACACACTCTATGGTAATTGCACTCACTCTCCTTTTCGTATGCAATAATTAGTTGCCAAAAAGAAAAGAAGAAGAAGAAGAAAACTGTCACAATTTGCAGCCCACTAGAAATTCAACTCTTATATAAACTATTATATGCAGTCTTCTATATTAACGCTATGGTAATTGCACTCTCTCTCTCTCTCTCTTTCCAGTTCCCTTTCCGTATGGAATAATTAGCTACGTAAAGTTAAAAATATATATGTAGCTTAGGTAACATCTTAGTCACGCTTTAGTTGTCTTCAGCACCATATCTTTTTCCAGCTGGCAATTAACATTGCTTTCTGACTGCAGTGACAAAAAGTGAAAGAGAGCGAGATGGAGAGAGTGAGAGGTAGATAGATAAGCTCAGCTTAAATTGTTGCCCATTTGAGGAGTTCCTCGATTAAGTAAGCTTTCAGCACAGATGCAAAAAAAGTCTTGTTGCTTGTCCCTTCACAAAAATGATAATGCAAAAAAAAGAGACAAAAACAAAAACTAAACAGTTATGTAGCCCTGAGCTGGATTAGATGATTAACGCTCATAGTTTTTCGCAACAGTTGTCTCGCAGCTGCCGCGTCAGATATTAAACAAAGTACTCAAGCACTCATAGAGTCCATGAATTGTGGGAGAATTTTCATAATTGTGGGGCATTACCCAGATACCTCATATTGTACATGGATAGTCATATCTGGAGCTACACACGACAATTCATTTTGCAATTAGTTGTAATGGGACATCAGACAAACAAACCAGATGGTTCGTAAGCTCCCTTAATGTGGGAATATATATCTCTCGCTGCAATCAGCTGGCAAATTATGTTTGCACAATTTGGACCAAGAAAAAAGAAACTGTTGTAAACATAATTTGATTGAAGATATGCCTAAACATGGTTCAAAGTGGAGTTAAACAAGAGATCTCGAGGAGTACATTATCAAGATACTTAAATGAATGAAAGTTGAGTAACTGCAAATAGTTAGAGAGTTTAATGTAAGGGGAAAATATTTAAATGTTTTCCAAAATGTAGAGTCAAGAGTTATTTGTATACCAAAGTTCTTCAATTACAACTTAACTTAGGTAAATTGCCAAAGGATAGTTTCGTCTGGAGTTTGTGGTAATTTATTATTATGGAGATAAATATCAGAGGATTTAATTAATATTTTAAAAATATTGAAAATAATATTTAAATACCTTTAAAACTATTTAAATGTGCATAGAAGATGTAAAATTGATTATCTAGCCTATTTCTGGAATATTTATTCCTCTGCTTTAATTTAGGCTCTACTCAGCGATTTTTAGTGAAAGTTCTCTTTCATAGTTATAATACATTTGTGAATGTGTGATATAATACATTTGTACTGTTTTTGTGGAAAAGAATCAGTTCCTTAGAAGGAACCTAGTTTCGTTTATATATTTTTGTGGTACTCTGATACATATCAGAAACTTATCCATCTGAACTCAAATATTTATATTTTTTGCTTAGCCTAATTTAAGCTTTAGAAACATATCGCTTCGACTCACCTGGGGGCCTGGTACTCTGGCTCTGGTGGCGGCACATGAACGTAGACATGCTTGTGCACCACTGGCGGCTGCTGTGGTGGTCCATATTGTGGTGCAGGTGCGCCGTAGCCGCCGCTGGGTCCGCTCGGCTGATAGCTGCTCGACGGTGGGGCGCTGTACGTATCACGCGGTGGCTCTGGACGAGCAGCGACCAGCGCAACGCCGGCCAAGACAATCGCTAACTAAGAAGCAGAAAAAATTTTATAAGCAACAGTTAAGTATGTACTCTAGTCGGCATTAGCCGACTAAGAAATGCCCGAACTGCTCTGACCTTAATTGAGGATCTATGACAGGTTAAGCTTTGACTATTTTTTAAATTTTATGGAGGGAAGCTATCCAGAAATTGTGCTAGTTCTGTATATTGATATCTAAGCCTTAAGGCTATTTTTTAAAATTGTATCCAGGAATTTAAAAAAAAAATATTCTAGGTATATATAATGATACCAAAATTTGATAGCTCTATTTTTACTGGTTTCCAAGTAAGGCTTGAAAAAGCCTGTTAAAAATATTATTATTATTATAAAACTGAGCGCAAATATTAAAGAAAAATGAATATAGCGTGCTAAGTTCGATATTCAAGAGTATATATTCGAAATTACAAGTCTCTAGCTTTGGTAGTCACAGAGATCAGACAAATAGACGAATATGCGAACATGGATAGATCGTTTTAGCTCTTCGTCCTGAACGAGTTTCTGTATACTGTATGGGCTGGACACCTTTTACCCTTCCAAACTCAATTTCAATAGGGTATATCACACACACACACACACACACACAAATAGCTGGATCCACTTGAACATACCACAAAACTGGACTGCATAATGCTTGTAAAAACTGAACGATTCAAGTTTCGGTTAAAATCCGTTACAATTATGAATTTATTTGTTGATAGAGAGAGAGAGAAACTTGGTTTGATTCGCTGGAGCTGGTGCGACGCGGAATCTCTTACACTGACTGCATGCCACAACGATTGTTGCAGTTGCTTTTATAGTGCCGCTCATTGGCGAGAAATAAAAATTAAGTAAAAATTCAGCAGAAGTTGACGGCGACGCGAGCAGCGACGCCAGCTGCGGCAGCGGTCGCACCAGTTGGCAAAGAGCGCATAACCATGAAGAAATTGAAATGTATAAAACGGCGGTAATAACAGCAACAACAACAACAAGTACCACAAGAGCAACAGCAGCAGCAACAGCAGCAGCCAACAAAACAAAAAACAAACAAAAGCAAAGAGACAAAAACAACAACAACGACAACAACAAAGCACAGCTTAAAGCAGCGCAGCAGCTGGCAAGTCATCTGGGCCTAGGGGTAGACCGTAGCTTAGGCCAAAGCCAAAGCTGCCTCTGCAGCCGCTCCTAGCGGCAACTGCGACTGCGAAGCTGGCGACAGCAGCGATGCTGGCAGCAGCAGCAGCAGCAGCAGCAGCGCTTCGATGACCGTTTCTTAGTCTTTTGCGGTTTTCCTTTTTAATTTTAACTGATTTAATACCCTCCTAAAAGTTAACACATGCTCAAGTAGTTAAAACTAGCTCTTCAATCCTCGGCACGTTGTTAAAGCTGCTTGGATATGCTCAAGTGATTTGATATGTTCGAGAATAGGCACAGGTAACTGGGTCAGCAGGTGCGCAAATTCTGGCTGATTGAGGGAATTTCAGATACATCTGAGCAGATGCAGTGTACTACATACATATATAAAATTGATTTAGTGATTTGGCTTATATATTTAGAAAATATTTTCATTATTTTTAAGTGAATTTTCAATATATTAACATATCAATATATTTATTAAATTGTAAAAGTAATTAAGAATAAATTAAAAATAAATAAATAATATACTAAGCAATAAATGAATCATACATAACACGTGTAAAATAATTGATTAACATTTAGTAAGAGACATTATACGAAATTCACTTAATAAATATATTACCAGCTGCTGTTAAGCAAGTCAAATCGAGTTTAAGCGCAACCGATTCGATCCCGGAACTCCAATTTTATTTTTACCTAAAAGCAATTTCAATTTCTTTTTTTGTTTTTTGTTTTTTTTTTTTTTAACATAATTCGAAATTTAAGCTGCATTTTCATTGCACTAAAATAAAAGTAAAGAAGTTTAGGGAAATTTGATTTGAAGTTACATTTTCATCAAGATTAATTTTGGACTTATGTAAAGCATAAAGCTGAGCTTATTCGAATATATAGAATAAATGAAAAATGGGTATATAGAGTTTGTGTCTCTTTCGGTCTTGAGTATTGGTAGAATATATATAAATTTGGATCTATATGAGATATATAAAGCGTCTATTAAATTAAATATATTTTGAGAATGGTATATGGATATATTGAGAAGCATGTATAATAGTGTATATAGAGTGGGATACATAATGAAGGATATGCGGAGTAGATTATATTGATTATTATTATACATATACATACGTATATATTTATAGAGAGAGAGAGAGAGAGAGAGAGAGAGAGATAGAGAGAGAGGGAGATAGAGAGAGAGAGAGAGAGAGAGATAGAGAGAGAGAGAGAGAGATAGAGAGAGGGAGACATAACGTAGGATATATTGAGCGGGTTATGCAAGGTAGCGTATATAGATTGAGAAAGATGAATATATTGAGAAATGGACATAGAGTAGGACAAGTACTAGCATTATGAAGACTTTCCATATTAACTAGGTCATATTGAAATTAAGCTACAAGTATATCGAGGCGTGGGAGTACATGGATCATACATGGATATAGTAAGCCACTAAAACTCTTTATATGCAATATATGTAATTTCTATAAGAACTCAAGTCTATATAAAAGTATAACAAATATTTGTAGGCCTGAGATCTTGATAGATGAGAGAGTTTAAATCGTTAACTCTAGGGTAAGTACAAGAGCTTAGGAAATTCAATTGCCTACTATATACAAAACAAATTACATCCCTTTGTTCAAGCTCCCAAAAAGAAAGAAACCACTCCATTGATAGTGTATTAAAAATTCTGCACGCTGGTTACCTCAATTTAACGCGTTACTTCTTGGCTTTATATTGTTTTAGTGGTTTCTTTGTTTTAGTTTTGTGTTTGTTTTCGCTTGTTTGTGTTTGTTACATTATTGTTGTTTTGATGATTTTGTTCGGTCTGGAGGATCGCATCATCGTCTGGCTGTTCGGATCGTGTGGCACGATTCACTTTCAATTTCAATGCATACGCTGCGAAATGCTGGTAAGCGGACTGAGAGGGGGAGATGGAGAAGCTTTGTCTCCGATCTGGAGTCAACTGGAACTGGAACTGGAACTGGACTGTGGCTTGGTCTTATTTCACATTTCTTCATGTCTCACACTCAATCTCTCTCCCACTTACTCCCGTTCGCCCTCTCTCCCTCTCTCTCTCTCTTGTGCAATGCTCGTTATGAGCTTCACGGTCTTGTTGGGTTACGATCAGTTAGCTTTGGCTTTAGCTTTACCATCGCCCAGCTCCATCTTCATTTCCATAATTTGGCCATAATGCAATAGCAGTTGACTATGATTTTCTTTCATTTATTTATATACAGATACATATATATATTTTATTTTATTTTTGCTCGTCTCCTTTCCTTTGGCTCATTCAATAATTTCGGCAATGACATTATTTGCAGTCGTTTTACCTATTAAAATGAAAGAAAAATATGATTAGCCATGTTTCGTTATTGGCGACTTTTCTTTTATTTTTGCCCCTGTCACGATCATCATGCAATCTCGATCGCGGGACTCGGACTCCAGTTACCGCTCCCGTTCCCGCTCGAGGTGTTGCCTCAAATTGAGATGCGCATAATCAATAAATGACAGTGTAGTTCGAACACCAAACACTCCTGTATGAGAGTTTGTTTGTTTTTTGGGGGGTTTTTGTTTTTGTGGAAACTTTGGCCAAGTTTGTTCGTTTTGCTGTTGCCGGAATTCGATTTTCGGAGAATCGCTCGCTGGCTGCTGCATAGCTTGGTTAGTAACGAGGCTTGGGGCATGTGGCATGTGGCATGTGGCATGGGCCATGTAGCTGCAACTGTAACTGTGCGCTAACTGTCACTTTTTCACGGCGGCATCATTTATAATGCCGTTAGCCAAATGGCAAGTGCTTCGCCTTTCCATCTGCTTCTGCTTCTTCTCCTTTTTTTTTTTTTTTTGTTATTTTTCGCCTGTTGATTTTGCTGTTCATTTTGAGGCTCGCAGCACATCGCATCGCAGCGCATCGCATTTCCTCAATTTCCAGCTCAGCTCAGCTCATCTCATCTCTCATCTGGCGTCTCCCATCTCTCATCATCATCATCATTATCATTTTCATCTTCATTGCAATGATTGCCGCTGGGTGTCCAAAACAGGTGCAGGCTTTAAGTCAGCCCCAAAAGAAAAAGGAAAAATGCCAAAAAAAAAAAAAAAATCAACATCGATTAAGCAACAACATTGATACTCAAATTAATGGATTGTCGAATTTTTAAATGGAAATTCTGTTCATATAGATATATGATTCGATGTAAACGGCGTTGTAAATACATAAGATAAGAGCAAATGTTAATTGAATGTTTACAATAAATAAACACGAATGGATAAGATGGGAAGATAAGTGAGATGAATTGTGAGTGAAGGGGACAAATGACTAGAAATACAAAATGTGTTGTCTGCTAGGATAGATGGTGAATGAAACGCAGATAATGATTGATATATTGATAGCAATGTGTGGATAAAGCTGATTATATGTATTTAGGTGGATTGACGTATGCAATGGTGACTTCATCAAGTTCGTGTGAGAGAAGTAGATCGTATAAGAATAGACTGAGAGACAGAGAGAGAGAGAGAGAGAGAGAGAGAGAGAGAGAGAAAGAGAGAGAGAGGGAGAGAGAAAGAGGGCGAGAGAGAGACAGTAGTAGGTTAGTTCGAAGACATTGATGGAGACAGGAAAACAGAAATGCGATAACTTGATAGCACTAACCAGAGAACACAGTGATAATAGTGAGAGAGAGAGAGAGAAAGAGAGAGAGATAGAGAGGGAGAGAGATAGAGAGAGAGGGGAGAGAAAAAGAAAGCGTGAAAGAGGGAGACAACGAAACATTTACAAGTGAGAAGAGGGAAAAAAATATCAGACAGGACGAGAGAGAGAGAGAGAGAGAGAGAGAGAGAGAGAGAGAGGAAAGTGAGAGCCTGAAAGAAAGAGACAGAGATTGAGGAAGAGATTGAACTATAGTAATTATTAGAAAACGAGAAAAAGAGGTTAAGAGACGCCAGGTAATACCATATAATCTATGCCTTTATACTATCCTATTTATCCTATTTACTGTCTAATCAAAATCAACAATTGTATATCTTCATCTATGCATATCTCTTTCTCAACTCAATTATGCCTGACTTTAATTAGTTCTTTTACATAATTTTCAAGCCACTTTCATAATAACTCTCCTCAATAGCCGACCGTGACAGATGCTTATAGCATGTCAAGCCCCATGATTCTGAGCTGTGAGAGCAGCTGGCAAAATCATAATTCATCTGCAATCTTTCTGCTTTCACCATTGCAGAGCCATGCGGCGGCATGGCATCATCTCCATCGACACCTCTGCCATGCACACATACTAATTATTATTAAGTATCTTTTTGGGACTTTATGTAACAGGCAAATATGTGCATATATAGAGATATACGTGCATGTATTTATATATAGCTCGAAATGAATGAAGTCAAAGACCATTTAAATAATATTGTATTTACATAAAAAGCAGCGAAAAGCAATTAAAATGCGTTTACAAAACAGAAATGTCGACGACAGGCAACGGAACTTTGGTTCACTTGGCGTGGGCACTTGTGCAGACGCAGCGCTGACACAGAAAGCCAAAGTATCTGTATCTTTTAGCTGTATCTGTATCTGTAACCTGTATCTGATGGGCTCGGCTCTGGGTTAACTGGGTCTGGCAATCGCCACTTGTTAGTTTTTAATTTGTCAAGTGTTGCACTTGAACGGGACACAAAGAAAGTAAATTCCGTTTTTTTTTTCTTTCTACATATTTTTTTTTCAATACCCTAAACACATGTAGAGATGAGTAAATGGGGTATATTCGATTTGTGGGGTAATACAAGTGATTGGAGGAAGAAAGCTATGTAAAGGAAGTACACTTATTGTTCAAGAACAAATCAATGGAGCTATGCACATAAATTTCCATTTATTTGACAATCCGAACCAAACCTATCCGCCGGATCTTGTAAACTAAAGACGCTAGAGACTTCAGCTTTTAGATATATATCCCTATATGCCGTGACCCATGTAATTCGATTCAATTTGTTTCCGTACTTCTTAGTTATCGATAATTATCGACTTCTTAATGCATTTTCAGGCTTCTCTTAAAGACTTAAAAAACCAAAAATATAATTTTTTGTATGGATCACTTTTTATGTGAGAGAGGAGTGTATCCATGTAAGAGTCTCTATATGCATGCTTGTGTATCATGTGTCTTACGTTGTGGGTACGCTCACAGTATCTGCTAGTCCAGCACTCCCCACAGTCTCGCATGTTTTTCAATTTGACCGGCAGTAAAACTATTTGTATCTGTAACTATTAGATACAAATCGGGAGTGCGTGTTTGGTATTGCATAAGCGAGCGTTTTCCAGCTTCTGTCTGATGCAACGCTCTATCAGTAGATCTAATTAACAATAACTGAAAATAAAAAAAATAATAAAAATAAATATGCAGAGGCCTTGCATTGAAAATGATTTCTTTTATTGTTTTTGATCATAAGGTAATATACGTTTAAAGGTAACAATTATATAAACCGAGCTGCATTGCCCACACACATATATATATATATATATAAATTCATACATGTATATATATATATTTAATATAGAGTATATGGCGCCATAAAATTCAACTTGGAGGCCAGAGTCGAGCACAGAAATGTAAGCAGCAGAGATTTAAAGTTGTGGCACTCGCTTGTAATATGCTCATAATTTATATTTATTTGCCCAGCCTTGAGGCCCATTAAAACAAAGTAAAATGTATGAATAAGAAGAAAAACACGCAGGTTTATGCTTTCAGGGACGGGTATTACATATTTACAATTGACTCTTCTTCTTTCAACTAACAATGCAACAGAATCTGGCAGCCACAAAACAAACTATAAGGAACTACATATGTATACAGAAATATCTATGTATGTGTATATAAAGTATAATTTATATATATGGTATAATTTTTGATTACAAGTTAACTCATTTTATGTATGTATATATATATTTATAGTACATATATTTTTTTTACGTTTTCTTGTTGCTTTTTGTCTAGTCGTAAAAGTTTAAAAATTATTGTTCTTATATAGGAACTGTTAAAGTTCTTATGAGTTCAGTATTTAAAACCGTTGAGTGTTTGCCTACGGAATGCAAAAAGCTAAATAACAAATATTTGAAATGCCCCAACTAATTTCTGCCCAAATCTCATTAAATCCATATCATATTTAATTAGTTTGTTAGTTTTGTTTTGTTAGTTAGAATTGACTTGTAAAATTGTTTGCTTTGCGTTGAGCGTGAGTAATGCTCATAATTAACATATTGTCGAGCCAGTTTACAGATTTAAGAAGTTCCTTAAGAACGATTCTAATGGTGATTCGAACTTAATACGGAAATTTTAGTTCTATTTCGTTGCTATCAGCTCGAATGAACTTTTGGAATTAGTTTCTTTGTAGCTTAATAATTATTATTATTATTTTTTGTTTTTTAATAAATTAATTCTATGTCCTATGTATGTAACTTGTTTAACAAATGAAAACTAAATTAGTTAACAATTTCAAAGTAGTAAATAAATGAATAAATTGTTTATTTTTTATTATTATTTTTTTTTTTCAGTTACGGAACTAGTTCTCTCTTATGCATTGAAAATAATTCTGATGTGGAAATAGATGTTAAAATATTTAATAATTGAAAATTCTGTATAGATCTCCTTAAAGATTCTTTATTTTTGAAATAGAATTTTGGAACTAGTTTTCTCTGATTTTTTTTTTTCTTCTAATATACATTTTTAGCACTTCAAATGAGCTTCTCCTACGTCAATTCGAATTCGATTCCTTCAATTCCAGAACTCGTTCTCTGATTCGCTTACTTATAAAAGCAATGTCAAGTGAGGTTTGACGACTCATCTAAATTTTGACTTCAAGTAGCTAAGATGTATAGCTCAATTTGTAATCTGTGTAATTTTGGAGCTAGTTATCTCAGATTTGTGTAATTAAAATAGACTTTAGGCATTTCAAATATGTTTTTTCGTTTGCATTCCTAGTTTCGTTTTTCTATAATTTTATGGGGGGGTCGTCATGGTTGGTTTAGGTTTTGGTGTTTCATCTTTAGTAGCGCCCATAGCCGGCGTCCGTATCGAGTGCGCCCATAGCACCCAATTTCTGGAGCCAGGCGGCATTGGCGCTGCTGCCGCTGTTGCTGCCACGCTGAGCGGTCAGCGGATTGTTGGCCTCATTGTGCAGACGCATTTGGTGTGGCTGTTGTTGTTGTTGTGGATCCTCATTGCTCAACTCCAAAATCTGCAAACAAAAAGAGTTAGACTTACAATTGTTGTTGCTTGTTTGTTATTGTTGTTATGGTTGTTATTATTATCATTATTATTGTTGTTGTTGTTATTGTTGTTGTAGCCTACATGAAATTTGTGAGCGGAGTTTGTTAGTTTGTTAGCTATTTCAAAAAATCTGTTGAAATCTTACACAGTGCGAAATTTGGACACGTTTTTATCAGCATCTTCGATATGAAGAATTTGCTAGATCTTGAGATTAGCAGAGAGGCATATGGAGAAAAGTTCAGAGACAGAGACAAAAAATGGTCGAGTTGAGATTGCTTAAACCTAAGAATATATACTTAATTATTAATATAAATAATGAAGTTTGAATAGTTCTTGAAGTCATAATTATTCATATTTCGAAAAAATCTACAACTTCTTAATCATTTCTCAGGATTCTTCAGCATTTCTCTCAGTGTAGCCTGTATTATGCTCGCTGAGGTAGGCTATGTGTGTGGGAAGCATGGTCACATGATGCTTTTTTTTTGTTTATGTTTTTTTTTTTTTTTGGCGGTTCATTAAATCAAATGAACTTTATTCATATCATCTGTAACGCTGTCGCTGTCGCCGCTGCTGCAGCTGAGGCTCTACACCCGTTGCTCAGTGTGAGGTTCAGAGTGAGGCGCGAAGCTGTGCGCCGCGCGCTGACTGAAAATGTGTTAATGGGGGGTATTGTCGTGTAATTATCAGACGGTAACCTCTTTTTCTTTCGCCTCCCAACTCTTTTGTTTTTTCTTCATCGCCTCACTTTTTGGCGAACGATGTGTGAACATCAGAAGAGAAATAAATAAGCGACGAGAAATACCTTAAAACAATTTTGCGCCAGGTAATTATGTTATTGCTAATTTAAAACATAGTGCCCTCACTCTCTCTCTCTCTCTCTCTCTCTCGCTCTCTCTCTCTCTCTGTCTCTGTCTCCCCGCCTCACACTGATGGCATCTCTGTGGCGCTAATGGACGCCCCTTTGTTTTTAATAACTGCGAACTGCAGCCATTGCAGCTGTGTGCTCAAAACAGACGAGAGATATATATCGTATAAGGAAGCGACCATCGTTATTATCGCATAGCATCGCAGTTAGCAGGGTCTGTCATATGCCCTCTCCACTCCTCCTCCTCCTCCTTCTCCTCCCTCATTCGGCATCCTCACATTTGGACAGTTTAATTTGAGAGTTGCCGTTAAGTGCAAAGTTATGTGATTGGATAAGGGTCCCTGTGCGATTGTCGTCATTGTTGGTTTACGCTAAGGTATCGCCGCGCAGGGGGGGCAGGGGGCAGCTGTAGATGTTGCAACCCCAATTTCTGTAGCTGCCACAGTCACAGGCTTAATGGCCCAGCCACACGTTTGCCAAATAAATGTTGTTAAATATTGAGCTAAACGATTAACAATCAATAGGCTAGCCATCAAATTAATGATAGCAATCATTAATCTTGTGATAAAAGTAATAGTAATAGCAATGCTAGTAAAAGTAACAGAAATATTAGTAATGAAAATAGATCCCTGAATGCTATGCTGACCCACATTTAGACGTATTATCCGCTAAATCCTGGAGATTGTCTCAGGGACACTAATGGCCAATATAAAAAGTCTTTGCCTCAGTTGCTTCAGCCCTTATTATATAATTTATTATATATTATGTTTACTCTAAGACTAATAATTAAAATACCAAAGATTAAATTAATTTAAAGACTAATGATAATATTACGCCGTTGAATGCCAACACAAATGAATACGGCGTGTTGTTAAGGCCGACTATAAACAAATTGTTTACTTCAAAATTTATCATTAAATTTACCATGAAGTTTTTTTCTTTTACTCTGTTATTTAACATGTGAAATTCCATCGAATCATCGCGGCACAAATGTGTTTCTCTTTTTTTCTCCCCCATTTTTTTTTTTTTTTTGTTACTATTATTATTTCGCACGCCTGACCTTAGATGTGGTTTAATTTATTTTTAAAATTAATAATTTATATTATCATGTGTATTTATAATTATTTGTTTGTGTGTGTTATTACGTTTCGTGGTCAATCTTATTTTTAGACATGGGCCTAATCAGTTGCTGCTCTTTGTGATGTCTGAGTGAGTCTTAAGTGAGTCTTAAATGATTTTTTTTTTTTGCAGGAGATGGCGATGCGATTATTTTTTTAAAGGTCTCTGAAACTTATTTTGAGAAAAGCTAAGAGTCCAGCTTAACGATCCACCCCCATTGGAAGCACTAATCCATTTCAAATTATTTTCATGCCGCTAAGCAGTGTTCAAGTACCCCCAATAACATTTTGACATTGGGGTTTGGTTGCTAAAATTTCATATAGTAAGTGCGACAGGGAATTGTTTGTTGTGCTTACTGTTCCCGGTGCAAGTGAAGTCTCGTGTCACGAGTGACAGGCGAAGGCTAATTAAACATAAGCTGAGCTCTTTGCCAACTCACGATCTGCAGGTTCAATGCATTACGCCTCGGCAGACAAGTGGAATTTCCTTTATATATTATTTTCTGCGTGACGTCGACAAAGTCAAAGTCAACCTTCATCAAGCGAGCGACCCCAGACAGGGACACAGCCTCAGCTCAGCGACGTCATCTTCTCAACATTTTGTCTGTTTTTTTTTTTGTGGTATTTGACATTTGATTTTCCCTTCACGTTTTGCTACATTTTATTTCATTTCGCCGTTTATATTTTTTTTTTTTCCATTCTTCTCTTTCTTCATTGGCGTTTTTTCTTTGGCTGTTGTCTTGTTGGCTCTTTGTGCCGCTTGGCCAAAATCACTTTGTGCGCGTCTCACGTCAGCGGCTTATCGATTCGCAAGGGCCCTGCCATGAGTCAGAGACTCAAACTGCAAAGCACAGACAACAGCCAGAGATAGAGACTGAGAAAGAGACGAGCAACAGCGAAAGAGAGGGGAGACAGAGGATTGGGCAGAGACAGACTGTGAGCTAAACTAAAGGAACATAAAAGCAATGTATTCCAGCCATAAATAAAGTCATAAAAATATTGGAATTGACCTTG